TGTTTCCCCCCCCCCCCAAAAAAAAAAGAAAAGAAAAGAAAAGAGAAGAAAAGGAAAAAAAAACCTAACCTTAACCAAGAAGAAATAAAAGAACAACAAAAATGAATATTTGGTTTGTGAAAACTTGCAACTGCGTTTTACAGTTTTCAAAAGATAAATGCAATTTTTAGTTGCTGTTTTTATTTCACTAGTAGAGTATAAAAATATAACCCTCAAACATCATCACAACTTCAGAGTTTTGGTGCAGTGGAAGGGATCTTTGACATGGTATAGAGTAACTGAGGTTCACCAGCCACACGCTCAAAGTGGATTAAGAAAAACAATTAATATCGCTGCATGAGTCCAAGTTTTGGCCATTAAAAGGGTGCTCAACTATGTTACCGGGTACTTCTAATATGGAGCTGTACCTGTACATAACACGTGTCGTACCTATACCCGTGCAACATAGGTGTTCAACAGCAGGGGCATTTATTATACAAATACAGCCCTCATCCTACCTTCCAAGGTTTGGTGCAGTGAGCAAGGGATCTTTGACATGGTATAGAGTAACTGATGTTCACCAGCCACAAACACAAAGTGGATTAAGAAAAACAATTGATATCGCTGCATGAGTCCAAGTTTTGGCCATTGAAAGGGTGCTCTACTAGGTTACCTGGTACTTCTAATAAGGAGCTGTACCTGTACATGACATGTGTCGTACCTATACCCGTGCAACACAGGTGTTCAACCAGCAGGGGCATTTATTATACAAATACAGCCCTAATCCTACCTTCCGAGGTTTGGTGCAGTGGCAAGGACCTTCGACACTAGACATGTGTTATTTCCAACTAATATTGCAGAAAAAGGATAATTGTGGGGGAAGAAAAAGACTTACCACCAATTATACACATTATTTTTTTGCAAAAGGTGACTCATTTTGCAATTTTAATTTCAGAAAGGCTGCCATTGTAGCAAAACAAACCACTGCAACTACAATTAGTAATTTATTCTTTCATCTAAGTTTGAAATCGTCTAACAACTTCCAAGGATACCCACTTCCTTCTCTATCATTTGCAGACGCCTAAATTCACATTGAAAAAGCAGTAATTTCTGATGACAGCCGCAAAGACTTTCTATAATTTTACGTCTAAATAGCAAATAACCCCTAAAAAAGTAACTTGGGTCTCTGAACAACATAACACTGGAGCCGATTTAAATGTTTGATTTCAGGAAATTCCTAAAAGAGAGAAGAAAGGAAGGGTGGGAAGAAAACTTACAGTTGTGAGCCCTAGAGAGGCCGAAGATGCAAATACAGAAAGTTACGAGGGAGAAATCGAAAAGGGGATCACGGGCGATCGGCATCTCCACCTGCTTCCCCCCTCTTTCGAAGAGTAGCAGCAGCAGCTGAGCGGAGTGAATTTGGGGGAGGACCGAGGAGGGAAGAGGATGCCTCAGCTCCGGGCCCACTTAATGGGTCCCACTTTATGGGTCTTTCAAATCTGATCCGGACCTAAGTCGTAGGCTTCGCTGTTTTTCGTTTCACCAGTACAGTGCGTGGGCATCGTACTTAAAATATCTGTGAATATTAAGAATGTTTTAGAGCATCTCCAAAGTTACTTCAAAATGCTATTTTGACGTCCAAAGAATATCAAAACTGTTTCCAACCTAGCAGCAAAACCTGCGCTATTTTGGGATGTTGCTACAGTGTTGCATTAGAAATGGCGCAACACTGTAGATATGGAGTTTTTTCTTTTTCCCAGTTTGCCCTTAAAATTGGTTATAACAAATTAAATATTCCAACCATATCTCATTTCATCCATCATATTTCCTATTTGGTGAAAATTTGGTGTAATGGGTTGGAGATGGAATAGTGATTTGGTATAAAAATTATACCAACTTTGTGTAAAAACTACAGCATTTTAGGTTTTTAGTTGGAGACGCTCTTAGGGGGTGTTTGGTTCCATTTCGAAAAGAAAAAAAATGAAAAAGTGTCAAGAAATTAATTTTCTTATATTTTTATAAAAATTTATAGAAAAAACTTATAGAACTCAAAAGTACTATTTTTCTTGTTTGTTGCTATTTCTTTGTTTGGTTCATAAACATCAAAATTAGTTCATGACTTTATAGAAAATAAGTTGTTTTCTTTTTCTTTTGTTTGGTTGGATAAGAAAATTTTATAGAAAAGTGAAAAACATGCAAGAATGTAGGGAATTTTAAATTTCTAAGCAATTTCAAATTTAATGGAAAAGTGGTAAGGGTGTACTTTATTATTATTTAAATATAAATGTCAGATTTCCTTGCAATTTCCGTCCATTTAGGGAGGAGGTTGATTTCTATAAAATAGTACAATTTTCCCTACTTTATAGAAAATATTTCTATAATTTTTTTGGAGTCAAACACAGTTTATAGAAATCAATAAAAATATATTATTTACGATAACGCCACTGTCAGGTGTTTTCTCAAAACTTTTCTATAAAATAAGTGAACCAAACAGCCCCTTAGAAAATCAAGAATGACAATGGACTCCGACAGAAATAATACCGAAAGCTCTCTGGTAGCAAAGGAATTCAAGTAAGAATTCTTCTAAAAATGCTAATGTAGTTAACTTTTGATAGAAAAATATTTAAAGATAAACTATATGACGAATATTTATGTATTATGCAATTGAAATAAAAACTAAGAGAGGATACATAATCTGATTTAGGAAAATATTAACGGCAAGATTGAGGACAATGGATTTGTCAAATAGAATGATTGGTTATTGGGAAAATTGCTTCAAGGCCTCAAAACTCAACTTCTATTGTGTTGCAGCCCCCCTTACTTTCCCTTATGTGCTGCAGCCCTTCTTTTTTAAAAAAATTACGTCCAAGCTCCAGTCAAATCCTCCGATTTTGCCTCCCTTCACCTCCCCTCCTCCTCCTCTCCTTTGAGCTCCCCCTTGGCCCTTCCCCCGCAGGCCGCCCTCCTCCCCATCCCACTCCGGGCTCCCTTCCCCGCCCCACTCCCTTACCCCAACGCCACCTCGCCCTCTCCTCCCCCACCTCCCTCCCCCGCTCGCCCTCCCTCCGTCGCCCCACCGTCCCCTACCCACGCCGCCTCCCTCCCCTCCCCCACACTCCCTCCCCACTGGCGCCTCGCCCCCCCACACGCCGCCTTCCCTCCCTCCCCCTCCTTCCCAGCCCCCACCTCCCTCCCACGCCGCCTCCCTTCCCCTACCCCCCTCCCTCCCTCCTTCCACACATCGCACCTCCTCCCCACGCCTCCATCATGCGCCTCCGTCCCTTCCACACGTCGCCTCCACGCCTTCATGCCGCCTCCCTCCCTACGCCTACCCTCCCCCTTCCCCAACCCCACCTCCTACCCCACGCCACCTCCTTTCCCTCCCCTCCCCTTCCCCAGCCCCCACCTCCCTACCCCGATGTCGCCTCCCTCACCCTCCGCCTACCTCCCTCCCCACGCTGCCTCCTTCCTCCCCCTCCCTCCCTTACCCCACCTCACTTCCCCACTGCACCTCGCCCCACGCCTCCCTCCCTTCCCCAGCCTCCCCACCCCCACTGTACCTCCCCCTACACCTCCCTCCTCCTCCTCCGGTCCCCCTCTACCCCCTCCTCTGTTCCGTCGCCTGTGCCGTCCCGAGGAACTTCGTGTGGGCACATTAGTAAGAGTTAACATGTTAGCTGTAAGAGTTAACATGTTAGTTGTAAGAGTTAACATGTTAGATGTAAAAGTTAACATGTTAGCTGTAAGAGTTAACATCTACTGGCATGAGAAAAAGGAGGGTAAATTTGGGATTTAAGCCAGCTGAAATGTCTAATCATGAGCTGACATATCTAATCAACTATTGGCATGAGTTGAAATCATGATGGAGGGGCCTTGGGAACATTTTTTTCAAAAAAAAGGGCTAAAGCACATTAAAAAAATAGGAGGGGTTGGGACACATTGAAAGTTTAAATTTGGGGCCTAGAAGCAATTTTCCCTTGGTTATTTGCAGCTTTAATACTAATGTCATATTAGAATTTTTTTCATAAAATATTATGAACTATTTCTACTCATATTTACAGTGATTTGAGGGATTAATTTCAATCTATGAAATATTTAAGGGACTAATATAAAAAAACCTCATACTCTATAGGCGCGGTGGAATATCAAAAACAGAATTTGAGATATAAATTTTTTTAAAGGATGGTAATAACTTAAGCCCCTAAACTTAGAGTGTTTTGCGCATAGCTCCATCAAATTTATTTATTCTTGTTAGGGCCTATTTGGTTGCCCAAAAAGTGGAGAAAGTGGGCCAAAACAATGGCAAAGGAAAAGTTTTATATGTTCTCTCAAAATCTTAAGTTTGGTCCCCCAAAATGAAAAAGGAAAGAGGAAGAGAAATTGGCTGTCACGAGTGATTTGTAGGGGCTCTGTTTTCCACCTTCAAGCTCCTGATTTCACCGAAAATGTGAAAAGTGATCTATGTACAACATCTAAGGGGGGGTTAGTCACCTATAACTTAAAATTAGAACTGGGATAATATGTGGGATAAATTTTTAAGGTGTTAGTCACATAGAACTAAAACTAGAACAAAATTTTACAGTGTTAATAAAACTAGAATTGGGATAATGGTACAAAATTATCCCATTTTTTTCATTTTTCTATATAAAAATGAGAGTTCTAGTCTCTCAAATTATTCCAAGTTTTAGCTTGGAACTAGGTGGTAAAAAACTAGAACTCATATTTATTTTGTTATTTTTTTATTTTTTATATTTTTTTATCTTTACTTCTTTCCTATTATGGTTATCACCATTAGACCATCATAATAATAATAATTGTCAATATCTTATAATCTAATGAAAAGTTATTTAATAGTAAAGAATATTCTTGTAAGCAATTATAAATTAATAATAGTAAGTTTAAAATACATAAATAATATTTATATTTTCAAAATGTATAAATATATATTTCATGATTATAAAAATTTATCCCACGTTATTTTATCAAAATATCCCGCTTCATAAAATTGTTCCTATTTATCCCGCTAAAATATCCCACTAGCAAAAAATTATTCCGCTTTAACAATTATCCCAATTTGCATCAAAATATCCCAATTGACTAACACCCCCTAAGAGAAAAGGGAGAAAAGTATAGGTATTCTTTGGATCTCCCGCCTCCTCATTTTGTCACCGCTCCCTCTCTCTCTCTTCCGCCTCTAATCCCTCTTTTTTGTTCTCTTTCCACTTCACATAGCTGACCGGAGTAGTCAATCGGCAGTTTTTGGTGCCGGAAGCCGACGAACATCGACCCATCTCTCAAAACTTTGTTAGTTTTAGGGGTTTTGGTGTTGAGTTTTTTTAATTTTTTTTATTTTTACCATCTTTTAATTTGTTTTTTCATTGAATGAAGAAAGTTTTGATATTTTATAGGGAGTTCTATGAACATTTATAGTTTTCTTCAATCACACATCATGACGAAAATCCCTTTTTTGTTCTTTAAAATAGAGAAACTCGCCAAAATGATCAAGAATTTGATTACTGTTGAAACATGAATCCACTTGCACCAATTATATTTTAGAATAGTGACCCCTTTGTCTTGCCTATATATCAAATCTATTAATGAGTAATAACCAACTTAACTGTTTGGATCCACTCATGAAATATTTGCATCCTACTCCCCCAAAGAAAAGAAAAAAATCACTATTTATTTCTTTTAATTAATGGTGTTGACTTAGCTCATGCAGAGTCAATAGAATATAAATTTGATGGAAGGATGATTTTGAGATGCTTTTGTAAATCCAACTGTCTACGGTATTAATTTACTTATTATATATATAAAGAAGTGTGATGAATGCTCATTCTTTTGGCTACAATTCCTAATTTATGTGGTATATTGTGTTCATGGTACTAATTGTGATCGATGTATGAAACTATCTTATATGTATCTTCAATAGTATTGTCTTCATATTTATTCACCTAAGTCAATATCTCAATCACTGTGAGTTTACAGATTTAATATTCGGTATGAAGACTTTGTGAAATATAATTGACATGAAAACTTGAGATGACTATTTGGTTTATAAACTTAATATTTCGTTTTTATGATGAGTGTATGATTAATTGATTGGTTGTAATTATCACATTTTGGACTTCAATTGTGACGTATTTCATATGCAATTAGATTGGGCATACACCATGTAGCTTGGGCCCGATATTGATGAGATCTTCTATGATCAGTCTCGGTATTGTTCTCTGAAAATATCATTTTCGGATGTAACCAATTTTGTTAAATACATGTAAACTAATATATCCATTACTATTTCTTTCATAGCAAATACTATATTTCTTTGTTATGCAGAGAGGAGCTATATTAGTCATGGTTGATCATAGCCTAGAGCATATACTTCATGGACACTTGGATGATGAGCGTATGATCGTCGCGGTAGCACGAGCTAGTTTTCTTACATGCTCTAAGCTAAGATGGATAAATTTAGATTGGCCGCTTATTAGTGCTCTGATAGATAGATGGAGGTCGGAGACTAACACTTTT